TACTAATACTCATAATGTATTCGGGAAGGGCCCAGTACTTCCTGAACAACTGGCTTCTTTCTTCTCATGGACATGGTCAATGGTATAACAGATACTATCTCCCTCTGCCTTGTTTCTAAGAAAAGCCTGTGTTGATTAAAAGGCGAAGACTTTCAGTTATGAGTAAATTCTACAGATCTAATATACTTCATGGTAACCATAATTAATAACACTGTACCATTAACTTGAAATTTGGTAACAGCATACTTGAAGTGATCTAACAGCCCCTTCCAGAAACACACACATGAGCGGTCACTGTGAGTGGTGATACGTGTGTTGATTAATTCGACTGCAGCGGTCACTACATAGTGTGTACATACACTAAATCATCACATTGTACACCTAAGAATATGTTCAATTTTTGTTAATTTTTTTTTTAATTTTTAAATCTCTAACAAGTATAGACTTCATAGTGTTTTACTTACTGCATTTAATGGCTTTATTTTTCCCCTAATTTGAATTTTTTAACTCAATTACTAAATGTATATAATAACATTATACTGTATGTATTTTTATCATTACTAAAAAACACTCCTGGAATAAAGTAGAAAATAAACAGTTAAGCAAACAAAAAATAAAAATACCTCTCATTCTCCACCCATTGCCTTTTCTTCAAAACATCAAGAAGCAATAAAGTCATTTAAAATTATCTGTACACATATAAAGAATATGTGCACATGTATATGAGAAATTTATCTGATGCGGTCTGAATGCGCGCACGCACACTTGTGTGTGTGTATACGAATATATGTACAAAATTTGATCTAATGTTATGGGAACAATTTCTATGGTTTCTTTCTCCCTGTTCATTACTAGATTTCCAAATAAAATACGAATATCCATTTATAGAGCACATTCAAAAACAATTACTGACTATGTAAAGCTAAAAATAGGCTATTAACCGAGACAGGATTTTTGACCACATCTCAGAAATTACTTAGACATCTTTTGAATTATACTGGCTGAACTCTTACTTCCACACATTTAAAAATAATTCCTACATCTGTCCCGATGGGTAGAGACTGGAGGATAACTTCACACCATCACTGTCCTAGAATAAAATACTGTCTGCCATGGGCTGGTTCTGACTCAGTGTAACCTGAGACTGGCTATATACGACCAGGAGTCTACCCCAACAGCTGGTGTTACTCTCCTTCAGACCTCCTGTCTGCACCAAGGTTGCTCCAAGAAATGAACTTGGCAATATGTGTTCATACTGTAAATACCAGAGCCCAATATAGATAAAATGGCAGTGCTTTAAAAGTATGTTTGTTTGCTGGATTTTTAAATAGATGATTTGTTTTCCTTTAATGCAGTTTTAAATTTTTTTTTTTCATTTGCAATCATTTCACTATTTTTATTGCAAGACTAAAGGAGAACTAGCAGGTGCTTAATGTCCATTTTCAAACTGCTCCACTGAAGGTCTTCAGGGTCTAGTTATGGTGTCACCTTGGCCAAGGGGATTTATTTTCTAAACTTCCACACCCCCCAGATTCATAAAGTTTAAAACAGGAGCTAAGTCTAGCATAAGAGTTTTAATAAAATGATTCAGCCTGGGGACAGTTGAAGGGAACAAAAAGTTCTGCATCCCTTGGTGGGCAACAAGTTGTACCCATTTCCCTGGAATTCTGTTCCTACCTAGAGGCTTCTGTCAACGCAAACCCAAGCAGCAAGCCTGGATATTAAGAAATGGGCAAAGCTGTACATCATGTTCATGAAGCTCCCTGGGTAGTCCAGATCTGATGGTAGGATAGAAGAGCATGTCTTGTCTCTGCCAGTCTCCTCAGGGATGCATTAGAAGACAGGACAGAGAAGGGGCAACTCCAGGGTTCCAGCCTCAGCCACTCAACTGCGGTGTGACCTTGGGGAAATCATTCAATCTTCCTGGGTCTCTATTTCTTCATCCCCCAAATACACACAGACAACCTGCTTGAAACCTGGCTCTGTGGTAGACATTGGGCAATGAAGTGAATAAGACAAACATGGGCCTAGGGTTTTTTTTTTTTAACTTCATTAAAGAAAAAAAATATTAACCTATGTATAAATCCAGCAAAGAAACTGATATTTTTAAGGAGCTGCCATATTATCTATATTCTGTTCTGGTATTTACAGTATGAAATACTATGGGTTCCTCCAGGAACCCATGGAGCTTAGTCTACTGAAGGAAGTCAATACAGAATTGTTCAAAAGCACCCAGATATTTCAATAATCACATTATAACAGTAACATGGAACTATGTGCTAAGACCATTTTAAAGATTATCTCTTGAAATTCCTTTACAATAATTGTGTAAGACAGGTACCATTATTAGTTCCATTTTGCATATGGGAAAACTGAAGCTTAATGAAATTAATTAGATCAGGGTCATATGGATAGAAATGATAGCTAGGATGCCAAAGACAGGTCTGGCAGTCTCCAAAATCTATGCTTTGCCTATTAATACCATGCTGACTTTTTCTGAACTAACCACAGTTCTGGGACAGAACTGGCTTTTGGGCCCAAGGGCCATTTCACACTTTCAGTGTAAAAGGGAATTTCCTGATCAGGTCACCTTGGGGTGTTTACTGAAGAACCCCATCTTGTTTGGTAAACACTGCTCCCTCTGGGCCTTGGAAGGAAAGGGAAGTGAGCAACAGGGTGGAAATGGTAATGCTTTCACTTGGCCTCTGCACTGCTGGCTAGATAATGCACGCACGTTCAATCCACTCTCCCTGCTGCAGAGCAAGCCAGATCAATCAATCAGCCAACAGCAAATCAACTCCAAAGAATACGGAACAGATATAAAGAGGCACGCTGCACTTTCCTCAACCTTTAAACTGATTACAGGCCTGATTGTCTTCCAATTGTGAAGTAAAATGAAATGGCATTTGTGCGTGGAAGAGAGGCCTGTGCTGGGCCAGCCAAGTAGTAACAGCTCAAGCTGCTTTTTTATGAGGGGCCCTAGGACGGCCAAGCCAACGAGCTTCTCCACTGCTGCAGGCACTTCCATATGTTGACTCAGTTAATAGTCACAGCTCCATCCATCCACCTGTTCATTCACTCACTTATTCACTCAACCACTCCTTATCTGGTACTCATTTTGTGCCAGGCCCTGTACTAGGAGGTCAGCAAGGCAGGTAAGGTCTTTATCCTCATGGAGCTTACACTCTAGTGGCGAAGACAAACAACTGCTGAGTAAACAAATGGCAGCTGCAAAAGCAACAGAGGTTCTTGTTGTTGCCCAGAGACTGAGAGAAAGAAGGAAAGTGAGAAATATCCTCAATCCAATGGGGAGTGGTCATGTGGCAATCCCTTCTCCTCCCTCTCTCTCTTTTGGGATTATGGGTACACATGCATGCGTGTCCAGTGTGTTTTTCAAACCAGGGGAGCCGGCATGGGATCTAGCCACCTTAACCACCAGGCCATGGGCTGGCCCAAGAACCCCATGTTTGAAGGACAACACAAAACAACTGAGGATCTGGAACCTCCCTAGGGTCCATTCTGGGTGAACATTAGAATTTAGGAAATTCAACATTTACACAGATGTCTGGCCCCCACTACAAAGCAATTAAGTCAGAACCCCTGGAGATAAGATATTGGAGTTTTTTTAAACTTATAATTTTGAAATTGTTTTTTTCTGCTTTCTTTTTTTAGGTTTTTGCCATAGGGTACATGAGCTTGCCAGAGAGAGACAGAGAGAGGGAAAGGGAGACATCACTCCCCAGAGGGATTGGAAATGCTGCAATCTCTTCTCCTCCATCCTCTTCCTGGGATTTTGGGCACACATACACAAGCACCTGGTGTAATTTACAAGCCACTAGGTCCAGGATTCAGACTGCAGTCAGCCATGTGGGAGTCCAGCACCTTAACTAACATACAACCTGCTAGCCCAGTTACTCACTTCCTGAATTCATTTGGATATGATCAAGTTCTCATGGCCAGTACCACTCTTATATCTGGGCCAGAGAGTGGGCCTTGGCATTTCAGCGGGCCCCTACATGTCACAAATGGTTTGATTTACAGGAAAGTTGCAATAATTATACAGACCTCCTAAATTCACCAATATTTTTTATCTCACCATATTTGCTTTCTTATTTTCTATGCCTTTGTGCATCTATCTATGTATATACATGTTATGTTATTTTTTTAATAAACTTGTACTTTTTTTAAAAATTTAACTTTATTTATTTATTTTAATTTGACCAGAGAGGGGCAAAGCGAGAGAAAGAAGAGAGAGAAAGTGAGAAAGCAAGCTGCCAGGCCCAGGACTTGAACCATGGTCAGCCATGTGGGAGTCCAGTGCCCTTAACTACCATGCCACCTGCTGACCCGCATGTTATACATTCTTTTTATTTTTCTGAATAATTTGAGACTAAGCTATATGTCACAATCCTTGACCTCTAAAACCTCTAGTATGTATCTTCATAGGGCCATCTGCTTCATTCAGTCCAGCTATTTAAATGCTATTCTCTTTTGGAAACATCCTCACAACATATTACAAAAATGATGTTTAGTCAACTATCTGGGCATTCTGTGGCCCAGGCAGGTTGACACATAAAATTAACCATCACAAAAGGAGAGAAGACAAGCAGAAGATACTGTTTAAGTTCAGAACAATCAACAATTTAGAAGAATAACTACCTATCATATTGATAGACACTGTGTTTACAAAATAACGGGTTATTCTTGATGCCTTGTAGCTTATATTAAAAAAAAAAAGAGAGAGAGTTAAAAAAAAAAAAAACAGTAGACACACGATGACACTGAATTTGTTCCTTAGAGCAGGAAATGGCCATGTAATTATACCCTATCACCTGTCATTCCAGAATGAAATCTTCCTGTGCAGCCCCTTCTAACACACACACTGAGTTCCATGCAGACATAAGGCCTTTATAAAACCTCAGAAGGCCTTCCTTCTTGAGCCTAGAATAAGAATCAGGCTTTTCCTGAATAAACTAAGAATTGTGAATCAAGCAACTGACCTTTTTGTTTTAGTTTGGCCCAGAAGAACTGGACTCGCTGCCGAATGTGCTTGTCCTCCCGCAGTTTCTTCTGCCACTGACGCAGTTCCTGAATCTCAGGATCGCAGCGAACCTGGAAATTCCAATACAGCTTTAGTCCTTTTTCTACATTCTTCCATACATTAGCTTATTAACCTTGCATGGAAAATCCTTTGTAAAGCAATTGGATGTACTTTTGCTTCTAAGTGAATCATTGTTCTAAATGAATTATCTACACCTCTAAAGCTAGCATTATAGGTTGTGGTGTGCAATAAAGTGTAGTGTAACCATGTGTGTAATGTTAAGTTTCCTTGCAGTTTCATTTTAAAAAGTAAAAATAAGCAGGTGAGATTATTTTGAAGAATATATATGCAATATAATATATACACACATACATATATATGTAATATATTATATAAAACTAATATTTCCTTATCTGTAAAATGGGAGCATATTATATATATATATATACACACACAGGTATGTTATGTGTGTATACACACACACACATACATACACACTGTTTTTTAAAAGTTTTTTGGCATGTGCTCATCAGAGAGAGACAGAAAGAGACAGAGAGAGGAAAAGTGATAAATCACCCCCCCAGGGGATGGCCATGCTACAATTCCTTCTCTTCCATTTTCCTCCTGACATTTTGGACACACCCACATGCACGTGTGCGTGCCCAGCATGATTTTCAAGTGGTCAGGTGGAGGACTCAAACCTCAGTCAAGCATGTGGCAGTCCAGTGCCTTAATTACCACACCACCTGCTGACCCCTTGAAGAATATATTTTATTTAACCTAAAATACCCCAAAGCTTTTCATTTCAACACATAATCAATATAAAAGATTACTTATGGGATATTTTACTTTGTTTGCCATACAACATCTCCAACACACAGTGCATTTTGGCACATCCCGGTTTGAACTAGTTGCACTTTGAGTGCCTAGTAGCCATGTGTAGCCAGTGGTCCCCTACACTGGAGAACATAGCTCTAGATGTTCAGTTAACATATGAACCACTGTTCTGTTTCACACCAATTGTCTGAGTGCTTGCTTCATACTGGCCTTTGAGGTAGACACAGAGAATAAAGAGATAATCAATAGTCATTATAGTAATAACTATTTTCATTTTATTATTATGATAGCTCATTAATTGAGCACATATGTCCCAGGGATTGTTTAAATGTTTTGCAAATTTTAATCATCAAAACAACCCAATAAAGCGAAAATGGTTATTCCCATTTTACAGATGAGGAAATTGAGTTTAAGTAACTGACCAGTCATACAGTCAGGAAATGGTGCACCAACCTTTGGCAGACCAGTTCCAGCTGCCCTTGAGAAACTTAGAATCTAGTAGAAGACACAGAAATAAGACCAATAAGGTATGGTCAGAGTAAGGATATTGGTGTGTCCAAGGGGGCACAGAGGGGACATCTAACCCAGCCAGGAGTGATCAGAAAACTCTTCATGGAAATGACTCCTGGGCTGAGTTTTGAAGGATGAGCTAGAGTTAGTCGTGAAGAGAAGGGTGAGGAGGGGACCAGCAGTTAGCATAATGGCTATGTCACTGGACTTCCGCATAGTCGACCGCGGTTCGAGTCCCAGACCCGGTGGCTTAAACTCATGCCGGGTGCGTGTGTGTGCGTGCCCAAGATCCTGAGAGGAGAATGGAGGAGAAGGGATTGCAGCGTGACCATCCCCCCTGGGGGGTGATTTCTCGCTGTCTTTCTGTCTGGCGAGCACAAGCAACATATAGCAAAAAAAAAAGAGAGAAGGGTGAGGAGAGTAATGATATCCCAGGGAGCAATACCAGCCTGTGCAAGACGGTGTGGAGGGGAATCCTGGGTGAACGAGGAACTCCAAGGTGAGAAGAACCATGGCCACTCACACCCATGCTCTTGCTGACTCAGCTTTCTACATCTCCACTTACCAGGGGAGTTTCTCCTCACAAAGTGGACTCCAAGACAGGAAGTGAGTGACTTCACATATGTGCTTACATATCAACTTTATTTTGAAAGATAAGTTAAAGTCAAAAGAGAATGCCAGGACATATTCTCTAAGAAAGAAAAGGCCACGTTTTCCACATATGTCCCTACAGTAGTGGTTTCCTGCCTCAAGTCTTCAGACTGACTGACTATACAGCCATTTTGAGAGTTCTCTTCATCAGCTCCAGTCATTGAAAATGAAGTGGTAGCTTTATCGTCTAGGAGAACAGTGACCTATACTTGAGTTAGTACATGGAACTGGGGAATCCCATACCACATGCTCAGGACGCCATGTCCCTTTCTGGTAGCAGTCCTCTTCTGTCTTTCCAGGGACTCCATGTGCCCCAAAGAGGGGCCTGCTTGCTCCTCTCCTTCTCTTGAAGCCACAGCTCAGCCCTGCTAGTCTGGTAGTTCGGACCTGGTGTTTCGGCAGCTGTGGGGAATACAGGGCTCACTGAGGCAGAAATGGAAATTCCACATGCCTGAAGGACCCAGCATTTAAGAGAGATGAGTTAAGGGAGCCCAGGGAGAGGACAAACTAGAGGACCCAGGTTTGTCTGAAGGGGCTGGCTGTTCCCAGCTTTGTTGATCATGGTGATGCCACCAAGCCAGGGCTCACTCTCTGCTTTTTCAGACCACACTGCATCTTGTGATTTCCTACCCAGGGCCACTGGACTTCCTACTCTGGTCATGCAATCCTCTCAGGGAGTTTCAACATTTTTTTCCTTTTTCAATTGCCAGAGCGCACTTGCCAGAGAAAGACAGATGGAAGGAAAGGGAGAAGGCATTCCTCAATGGGGCACTCCACAACCCCTTCTCCATTTTTCCATCCTGACAGGATCTGGGACATGCAAGCACATGCCTACTGCGTTTTTCAAGCAAAAAGGCCTGGAATTCAAACTATATGATCAGCCATGTGGGATCTGGCTCCCTTAATCCCCAGCCATAGGGCCAGCCCTGATAGTGTCTTTTGATGCATAAGGTTTTTTTATTTTAAACTTTTTTAATTGACAGAGGATATACGCATTTGCTTGAGAGAGACAGAGAGGAAGAGAGAGAAAGGATTCCCTAATGGGGCATGGTCATGCTGCAATCTGTTCATTTCTCCATCCAGTCGGGATTATGAGTATACACACAACATGTGTTTGGTATGTTTTCAAGCTGCCAGGAACAATACCCAAACTGTGGTCAGTGATGGGGGAATCTGGTTCCCTTACCCACTAGGCTTCAAGCTGTGCTGGTTTTTAATATCTATAGAGTAAAATTTATCTATTTTTTTCTTCCATTGTTTGTGCCTTTAGTGTCATATCTAAGAAACCATTGCCAGATCCAAGTGTATAAAGATTTACCCCTATGTTTTCTCCTAAAAGTTGTGTGTTAGCTCTCAAATTTAGCTATTCAACCCATTTTTGGCTAGTTTTTGTATATGGTATGAAGTAAGTGTCCAATTTTAATTTTTGCGTGTGGATATCCAGTTGTCTCTGAACCATTTGTTGAAGAGGCTACTTTTTGCTCCATTGAATGATCTTGGCACCCTTACCAAAAATTGATTGGACAAAGAGGTATCAGTTTATTTCTGGACTCTCAATTCTATTCCCACTATGGGTGGGATGTGTGTGTGTGTGTTTTAGTTAAAATTTACTGGCTTTCTAAGTAAGCTATAGGAATTGTAAATAAAGCTAAGTATATAGTTATCAGATTTTACATATTTAATTCTGCTTCTAATTTATCATAGGAAATGTTCCAAGAATGTTAGTCATAGCTGGAGTGAAAGAATATTTGGGGAATGTGGTAATGTTGTTTGTATAATGCAAGTCTACAGGAGAGCTGGAGGCTTCCCTTGGTAGATTTTGATATAGAAAAACAACAGCAAACACTACTGGAGTAAATCCAGGTCCATCATTAGAACCTGGGAGCACTGTCTTTTAGCTTCAAAGCAAGTCCATATGCACTTAAGTGGTGGGAAGCCAGTCTTCACAAACTTGAGACTCCCATTAACATTTTACCTTCCTGGTTCTGCTCTCTGAAGGGTCTCCATATGGGTTTTTATAATTAGGAATCTTTGAGGTAAATGTGGGGATTCAGGTGATCTCAATTCCTTTCCTCCCAGGAAACTCCAAAGTTTGTTATGCATATTGATCCTATACCATCCAAGAGCTGCACTCACCAAGAGGAACTTGGATGGATGGTTCCTCAAACACAAGAAAAATAGTCTCTCTTATTATTTCCTCTCCTAGAGCATGAGGTGCCTTGTCTCAAAAAAAAGTACTCAAGTAATTTTTTCCCCAAAATAAAAAAGATTGCCTATTTCCAGCTGAACATATAAATGAAAAAAATCTCCTGCTTAAAAAGAAAATACATGGGACCATCAGATAGCATAATGGTTATATCACTGGACTCCCTACATGGCTAACAGTGGTTTGAGTCCTGGACTCGGTGGTTTGAAATTTACGCTAGGCATGTGTGCAAGTGTGTCTAAAATCTTGAGAGTAGAATGGAGAAGGGACTGCAGTGTTGCCTTTCCCCCAGGAGGTGATTTCTCACTTTCTGTCTCTCTAGCAAGCACACATGCCCTATATCAAAAATTTCTCATGCACACACGAATTAGTTATAAATTTATTTTTAAAAATTATATTTAGGGCTGGCTCCATGCCCTTATGGCTAAGGTAGTCAAATCTCACATGGCTGAGCCCATGGTTTGAGTCCTGGGCCTGCCAGTTTAAGAAACATGCCGAGTGTGTGTGTTTGCATGCCCCTGATCCCAACAGGATGAAGAAATGGAGGAGGAGGGGTTGTGACATGACCATTTCCCAAAGTAGGTACTTTGGCCCTCTCTCTTTCATCATCTCTCTAGAGAGTGCATGTACCCTCTGGCAAAATTAAAAAAAAAAAAATTCCCACACCCTTATATATAAAGCATTGTGTAATACAAACTTCAGGGAGTGAAAATCGTCCTTTATTAATATCATAGAACATATAGAAGGCCCCTAAAATCCTTTTTATTACAAACCAATGTATTTGTAGTGTTTCCTAAAGTCTTGTGTTTGTAAGGACCAGGCACCTTAGATATCTCTATTCCAGGTAGCTATGATCCGAGCAAATCC